TAACTTGCTGTTTCCTGCTCCTTGGTGTGGACGTGATGTCCTCACATCCTCCCTTAAGTAAATCATACTCATTGTTTGTATTTTTCTCTGGCATCGCTTGTTCTTTGTAAATGACAAGGTTAGAAGAAATGGAGCCTCACTTTGTGAAGTTAAAGCACTCAAAGGCCTCTTGATATCAGATACATCCATCTGGCTTTAGTGTAAACATTTCACTAACCTGAGAAGGTACGAGGGGCTGATGCAGCTCCAAGCTGGATATCCACTACAAAAGAGGGAAGAATTGGAGATGACATACAATGAATCATATACCCTTACTGAGCTTTTCTAGTCTTTCATGAGCCAATGAAAATAATTTAATTCTCCATATTTTATAAGGCAGGGATCTTGTTTGGCACACTAATATACTAATAAAACCCCAGTAAGTCAAGAGCCACTCACCGCCCATTCAGGAAGTGTATCAGAGAAAGGAACACATTTTTCCAGTATTCTTTCTTTTTTTGTTTTTTGTTTGTTTGTTTTTGAGACAGAGTCTCACTCTGTTACCAAGGCTAGATTGCAGTGGCCCAATCTCAACTCACTACAACCTCCGCCTCCCGGGTTCAAGCAATTCTCCTGCCTCAGCCTCCTGAGTAGCTGCGATTGAAGGCATGCGCCACCATGCCTGGCTAATATTTGTATTTTTATTGGAGACAGGATTTTGCCATGTTGGCTAGACTGGTCTCAAACTCCTGACCTCAGGTGATCCGCCCACCTCGGCCTCCCAAAGTGCTGGCATTACAGACATAAACCACCGCGCCCAGCCCATTTTTCCAATATTCTTTCTACGCACAGGTGAATGTCTTAGGAACTCTGAGGGTTGCAACAATATCATATCATACTGTCTTACATAAATTACAGTCAAGGTAAATGTGTTTTAGACATGAACAATCAACATTTAAGGAGCAAATTTTTATACATGTTGGTACCAGGACTTATAAGTTGATAGAAGATTTCACAACTGGAGCTACCCATTTGAAAATAATTGAAATGATGTTTCCCAGGAGGCCTTCAATATGGTCTTATCCTTTTATCTAAAATCCCTGATGTGGTTTAAAGTTCTGATGAATTTTGTGACCCCCTCCGTTGGTAGCAGCTCAGTCTCTGTGTCACCAACACAGAATGAATCTGATGACTCTGAGTCTCCCATTGACTATGAGGTGCAGAAATGGGGTTTCTGGTCATTTGACTTCCAGGAAGAGCATCAGCTTCATGGAACAGCACATTCACCCAGAGGCCCAGCCACCCACAGACTCCCCATGTCATCCAGAATTTTCCTATTAAGGAATCAGCATGCTCATGACAGCTGAAAAAAAATTTTTTTTTAGATGGAATTTCCCTCGTTTCCCAGGCTGGAGTGCAGTGGCACCATCTCGGCTCACTGCAACCTCCACCTCCCGGGTTCAAGTGATTCTCGTGCCTCAGCCTCCTGAGTAGCTGGGACTAGAGGCACCCTCCACCACGCCTGGTTAATTTTTGTATTTTAGTGAAGACAGGGTTTCACCACGTTGGCCAGGTTGGTCGAGGCAGGTGGATCACTTGAGGCCAGGAGTTTGAGACTGGCCTGGCCAACAGGGCAAACCCCCATCTCTACTAAAAATACAAAAATTAGCCAGGTGTGGTGGCACGTGCCTGTGGTCCCAGCTACTTGGGAGACTGAGGCAGGAGAATCACTTGAACCAGGAGGTTGCAGTGAACCAAGATCGTATCACTGCACTCCAGCCTGGGTAACACAGCGAGACTCTGTCAAAAAAAAACAAAATCTCCTGTTCTTTACCCCCAGGTGTGAGGGGTTTCCATTCCCATGGCCATCCCCATTCTCGGATCCCTTGAGCATTTCACTTCCCACGGACTACCATCACTTTCGTTGTCCTCACATGGGCGATATACTGACAATGGATTTCTTATGTGGGATGGAATGAGAAACAGGCTCTCTTCTTTGACATCCAATGGTGGAGGTGCATTTTCTCTCACCAAAAATGCCAGCCTCACCCACTCACCTACCTGGCTTCACCACAGTCTTCCAGACCAAAGTCCCATGTCTTTTGTCAGTAATTTCAAGTTGAATGGGTTCCTTCATCTGCCCAGCATAGAATTTTGAGAAGGGCTGGATTTCTCCAGGGCTCCTGTAGGACAATTTCAACTCCTAGAGGAAACATAGCAGTTGACTTAAGCAGTGGAGGGTGGAAAGGCCCAGCTCCCTACAGTGAACTGGCCAGTGGAACTTTCCCCCTGTTATCTTCACAATGTCCTAGCTGGTTGAGAAGGAAATAGAGGGAGAGAGGTAAACATCCTTGTTTTGTTTTGTTTTGTTTTACAGAGTCTTGCTCTGTTGCCCAGGCTAGAGTGCAGTGGCACAATCTCAGCTCACTGCAATGTCCGCTCCCAGGTTCAAGTGATTCTCCTGCCTCAGCTTCCTAAGTAGCTGAGACTGCAGGTGCGCACCACCGTGCCCAGCTAATTTTTGTATTTTTAGTAGAGATGGGGTTTCACCGAATTGGCCAGGCTAGTCTGGAACTCCTGACCTCGTGATCTGCCCCCCTTGGCCTCCCAAAGTGTTAGGATTATAGCATGAGCCACCGCACCCAGTCGGTAAACATCCTTTTAAATTGACAATGTTAGGAAATAATTTTATTCTATGAAAGCAAGAGTAAACTAGCTCTCAACACCCCATGAATCAGAGAAAAATGATCTGAGCTGAGTACAAAAATCTTAGGTGTTGGCTGGGCACGGTGCCTCACGAAATGATGTTTCCCAGGAGGCCTTCAATATGGTCTTATACTTTTATCTAAAATCCCTGATGTGGTTTAAAGTTCTGATGAATTTTGTGACCCCCTCCGTTGGCAGCAGCTCAGTCTCCGTGTCACCAACACAGAATGAATCTGATGACTCTGAGTCTCCCATTGACTATGAGGTGCAGAAATGGGGTTTCTGGTCATTTGACTTCCAGGAAGAGCATCAGCTTCATGGAACAGCACATTCACCCAGAGGCCCAGCCACCCACAGACTCCCCATGTCATCCAGAATTTTCCTATTAAGGAATCAGCATGCTCATGACAGCTGAAAAAAAATTTTTTTTTAGATGGAATTTCCCTCGTTTCCCAGGCTGGAGTGCAGTGGCACCATCTCGGCTCACTGCAACCTCCACCTCCCGGGTTCAAGTGATTCTCGTGCCTCAGCCTCCTGAGTAGCTGGGACTAGAGGCACCCTCCACCACGCCTGGTTAATTTTTGTATTTTAGTGAAGACAGGGTTTCACCACGTTGGCCAGGTTGGTCGAGGCAGGTGGATCACTTGAGGCCAGGAGTTTGAGACTGGCCTGGCCAACAGGGCAAACCCCCATCTCTACTAAAAATACAAAAATTAGCCAGGTGTGGTGGCACGTGCCTGTGGTCCCAGCTACTTGGGAGACTGAGGCAGGAGAATCACTTGAACCAGGAGGTTGCAGTGAACCAAGATCGTATCACTGCACTCCAGCCTGGGTAACACAGCGAGACTCTGTCAAAAAAAAACAAAATCTCCTGTTCTTTACCCCCAGGTGTGAGGGGTTTCCATTCCCATGGCCATCCCCATTCTCGGATCCCTTGAGCATTTCACTTCCCACGGACTACCATCACTTTCGTTGTCCTCACATGGGCGATATACTGACAATGGATTTCTTATGTGGGATGGAATGAGAAACAGGCTCTCTTCTTTGACATCCAATGGTGGAGGTGCATTTTCTCTCACCAAAAATGCCAGCCTCACCCACTCACCTACCTGGCTTCACCACAGTCTTCCAGACCAAAGTCCCATGTCTTTTGTCAGTAATTTCAAGTTGAATGGGTTCCTTCATCTGCCCAGCATAGAATTTTGAGAAGGGCTGGATTTCTCCAGGGCTCCTGTAGGACAATTTCAACTCCTAGAGGAAACATAGCAGTTGACTTAAGCAGTGGAGGGTGGAAAGGCCCAGCTCCCTACAGTGAACTGGCCAGTGGAACTTTCCCCCTGTTATCTTCACAATGTCCTAGCTGGTTGAGAAGGAAATAGAGGGAGAGAGGTAAACATCCTTGTTTTGTTTTGTTTTGTTTTACAGAGTCTTGCTCTGTTGCCCAGGCTAGAGTGCAGTGGCACAATCTCAGCTCACTGCAATGTCCGCTCCCAGGTTCAAGTGATTCTCCTGCCTCAGCTTCCTAAGTAGCTGAGACTGCAGGTGCGCACCACCGTGCCCAGCTAATTTTTGTATTTTTAGTAGAGATGGGGTTTCACCGAATTGGCCAGGCTAGTCTGGAACTCCTGACCTCGTGATCTGCCCCCCTTGGCCTCCCAAAGTGTTAGGATTATAGCATGAGCCACCGCACCCAGTCGGTAAACATCCTTTTAAATTGACAATGTTAGGAAATAATTTTATTCTATGAAAGCAAGAGTAAACTAGCTCTCAACACCCCATGAATCAGAGAAAAATGATCTGAGCTGAGTACAAAAATCTTAGGTGTTGGCTGGGCACGGTGCCTCACGCCTGTAATTCCAGCACTTTGGGAGGCCGAGGCGGGCAGATCACCTGAGGTCAGGAGTTTGGGACCAGCCTGGCCAACATGATGAAACCCTGTCTCTACTAAAAATACAACAAATTAGCTGGGCATGGTGGTGGGTGCCTGTAATCCCAGCTTCTTGGGAGGCTAAGGCAGGAGAATCCCTTTAACCTGGGAGGTGGAGGTTGCAGTGAGCCAAGATCAAGCCACTGCACTCCAGCCTGGGCGACAAGAGCGATATTCCATCTCAAAAAAAAAAAAAAAACCTTAGGTGCTGAGGCTCCCCATTAATAACTCTACTAACAGGATCTCAGACTGTAGAGAAATGTAGGAAAACTGGCAAAGGCAGCTCATCGGGTCTGTCCTGGCCTTGCTGGGAAGCCAAGGGTCAGATGTGGCATTGTGCTTTCACGTCCTTCTCTTCGTTCTGCACCCGACTTCCCCAGGATTCCTAAGGAAAGCTGCCCTGGGGAATAGGAGCTACCCTCATAGGCAGGACAGAATTAGGAAAAGCTTAGTTCATGCAAATCTCTAGTTTCTTTAGGAAACAAGCCCTACGACTCTTGGAAAATAGCAATTTAAAAATTCTAAGAGGTGAGGTCCTTGGTTCTTTGTCTTTTTTTTTTTTTCTTTTTTTTTGGAGACGGAGTCTCACTCTGTCACCCAGGATGGAGTGCAGTGGCTCGTTCTCGGCTCACTGCAAGCTCCGCATTCCAGGTTCAAGGGATTCCCCTGCCTCAACCTCTGAGTAGCTGGGACCAGGCACCCGCCACCACGCCCAGCTAATTTTTTGTATTTTTAGTAGAGACGGGTTTTCACCATGTTAGCCAGGATGGTCTCAACCTCCTGACCTCATGATCCATCTGCCTCAGGCTCCAAAAGTGCTGGGATTATAGGCGTGAGCCACAGCCCCTGGCCTAGGTTCTCCATCTCTTTAAAAGGAAGACGAATCTAAGGAGATTTTACCTTGCTCAAGATTATCACCTCATATTACAACTGCCATTTCTTTTTTTATGTTTTTTTTTTTTTTTTTTTTTTTTTTTTTACTGTTTTTTTTTTTTTTTCTAGAGACAGAGTTTTGCTCTGCCACCCAGGCTGGAGTGCAGTGGTGTGATATTGGCTCACTACAACCTCCACCTCCCAGGTTCAAGTGACTCTCCTGTCTCTGCCTCCTGAGTAGCTGGGACTACAATTGCTTGCCACCAATCCAAGCTAATTTTTGTATTTTCAGTGGAGACGAGGTTTCACCATGTTGGCCAGGCTGGTCTTGAACTCCTGACTTCAAGCGATCTGCCCACCTTGGCCTCCCAAAGTGCTGGGATTACAGGCATGATCTACCACGCCCAGCCTTATGATGGCCATTCCTTATGCCATGTTTACTGTTTGCATTTTTATTGAAGGAACTCCCTGTATTTTATTTATCTCCATACCAACAATGTTTGTGGAAGGTCCTGCCACAACCAAGAATGTATCTTGCCTGAAGGACAACTGAGCTTCTGGGAACTGTCTGGCTGGTGTTACAGAGATAGAAAGTCATTTAGGAAGATAGGGTGAAGAGATTCCCCAGCAAAAAACTTTCCTTCTAACAAGAAGCAGCTCAGAAATTGCTCCCTTTCTAACCTCAGGCAGTTCAAAGAAATCGCTTGTCTCCTAACAAAGAGCAGCCTGGAAGATCAGGCTGTAAAACACAAATAAGCACTGGGCGCGTGGTGGCCCAACGCTGGTAATCCCAGCACTTTGGCAGACCAAGGCAGGTGGATCACCTGAGGTCAGGAGTTCAAGACCAGCCTGACCAACATGGTGAAACCCTGTCTCTTTCACGTCCTTCTCTTCGTTCTGCACCCGACTTCCCCAGGATTCCTAAGGAAAGCTGCCCTGGGGAATAGGAGCTACCCTCATAGGCAGGACAGAATTAGGAAAAGCTTAGTTCATGCAAATCTCTAGTTTCTTTAGGAAACAAGCCCTATGACTCTTGGAAAATAGCAATTTAAAAATTCTAAAATTTGTAAAAAATACAAAAAATTAGCCAGGCATGGAGGCACACAACTGTAATCTCAGCAACTTGGGAGGGTGAGGCAGGAGCATCCCTTGAACCAAGGAGGTGGAGGTTGCCGTGAGCACAGCAGCCTGGGACACAGAGTGAGACTGTCTCAAGAAAACAAACAAACAACAACAAAATCTATAATGGACTGAGATGCATTTTTTCCCATTCAGATTAGAAAACAATTAAATTTTGATACTTTATTCTAGAGATGGATATTTTGTTGGAAAATCTCGTCCTTTATTCTTGAGAACTTACATTGTGAAAAACCTTTGAAAATCTCTTTGGAAATGTACTAGCTTTAACTTGGTGAGTTCTCTTTGACTCAGTCATTTCTCTTAGGACACTCTAGCTTCACATGAAAAACATAAAACTGTATGAGTTGAAATATTTATTGCCAGGGCACTTGTTATGAGAAATTACAAGCAGTTCAACTAAATGCTGAATAATAATGAAGTGATTTAAAAAGCTCTAGGGTTTTAGCTACATGGCATATTATGTCCTATTAAAAAAACAGGGAGGAATAATTTCAATTGTGCAGAAATATACAGTAATCTCCAGTAAAAATACATAAAATATAATACATATCATATTTATTTTTTTAATTTTATTTATTTTATTTTTTGAGATGCAGTCTCACTCTATTGCCCAGGGTAGAGTGCAGTGGTGTGATCTCAGCTCACTGCAACCTCCAGCTCTGAGGTTCAAGTGATTCTCCTGCCTCAGCCTCCTGAGTAGCTGGGATTACAGGCGCACGCCACCACACCCAGCTAATTTTTTGTGTATTTTTAGTAGAGACGCGGTTTCACCACGTTGGTCAGGCTGGTCTCAAACTCTTGACCTCGTGATCCGCCTGCCACGGCCTCCCAAAGTATTGGGATTTTAGGCCTGAGCCACTGAGCCCGGCCAAGATATCATATTTCTTCATTCAAACACCTTAACAAATACTCCTTAAGTGACTTAGCTAGGCAAGATGTCAGGCCTGCAGGGAACTATAACAGAGAAGTGGAAACTTCAATTTAGAAAACTGAACGTACAGTTTTAATCACAAGATAAGTGCCCCAAAGGCTAAAATGTTACCTCTGCCTGTGTTAAGGTTTTGGAAATATTTAATTTGATTAAGACCGCTTTCCTGTATTTTCAATTTTTTAAAACTTTGTATTTGCGATTAATGAAAAAAATTGCATCTTGCTAAAATTCTTCTATTTGTTTCAAAAGTACAAAATATTCTGAAATCTGTTGTTAGATTTGAATTCTACCAACCGTGGGTATTATTTCCAGATGAGCAGAATTAGACACAATATAATGGGCACCAAAGGTCAGAGGTTGCATTGAGGGTGAAGTCTGTAGACGCACACCACAGAAGCGCTCTTCCTCATCATCTATCATCTGAGGAATAACGGGGAGAAACATCAGAAAGCACACAGAAAAAGAAATAAGCACAAATAGTGGCATAAAAGTTTTCTATATATTGTATTAAGTAGCATGTAGGATATGATTCAGTTGATGTAAAGATTGAGATGATGGGGCCCAGGCATGGTGGCTCACGCCTGTAATCCCAGCACTTTGGGAGGCCGAGGCAGGTGGGTCACCTAAGGTCAGGAGTTTAAGACCAGCCTGGCCAACATGGTGAAATCCCATCTCTACTAAAAATACAAAACTTAGCTGGGCATGGTGACTGACGTCTGTAATCCCAGCTATTTGGGAGGCTGAGGCAGGAGAATCGCTTGAACCCAGAAGGCAGAAGTTGCAGTGAGCTGAGGTCATGCCACTGCACTCCAGCCTGGGCGACAGAGTGAGACCCCATTTCAAAAAAATAGATTGAGATGATAGATAGATAGATTATATTTTTATAATCTATACATTTTATAGTCTATTAAAATTTTATAATCTATTAAATTTTATAATCTATTATAAATAGATATAATCTATTTTAATAAAATATGCAAATAATTTATTGCTCCATAATTTTCACAGTGGATACACCCATGTATCCAACACCCAGAAGGAGATACAGAGATAGACAGATAGGTGGTAGAGTGGCAAACTAGATAGATAGATGTAAATGTGCCTCTATGCAAAATAGATGTGGTATTAACCTTTTGCTGATGGACATCTCAGAGCCAAAGGGTTTCTTGTGAATGGTAAACTTATCATAAACTCCTCTACAGTTTGATTTTATTTTTACACTGTGGAGAGTTTGGCCAGGGGACTTATAAAACCAGAGGACAAAGGGACTTCCTTTTGGTGCCTCAGCCGAGGACTGGTAGCTCAGCTGTGTCTGTGAACACGTCTCTGATGGGTGAGGGTAGAGATGTCACTTCTCTCCATCACAGGGCTGCTGTGAGATGCTCGGCCACCTGAGCACCAGGGAGCAGATACAGAAGAGTGAGGTCCCCTCTGAGAGGCCCAGAAGCTGGAGCAGAAGGCGAGACCTCAGAATTATCTGAGCAGGCACCAAGGACATAGAATGGAATTCAATCAATAAGAAAACCTTTCAGAAGTCTCAGGGGCAATCAATAGAGACTTTATGGAAATAACGAGCAAGAATTTAAACTAAAAGCAATTGACAGTAGGTGGCATTACTAGTCCAGCTGTCAGACACCCTCGGGGTAATGACTGGGAGAGGGTTCAAGGGGGCCTCAGAGAAGTTGGAGATGTTCTGTATCTTGCTCTGGGTGCTGGATACATGGGCATGTCCACTCTGAAAATTATAGAGCAATACATTATGTGCATATTATATTAATTTTAAAATATCAGTGGTAGTAATGAAGAAAGAATGGGCAAAGCTGAAATATAAACTGGGCCTGGAATATCAAATAAAAGAAAAAAATTCAAGTTATACTGAGCAAAGGGATGAAATCATGATGGGGATTAAGCAGCGAAGGGATGTGGAGACCTATCCAGGAGGCATCCCACATATGCCTATAAAGAGAACCAGCTCCAGAAGGATAAAAAGAAACTGACGGAGGAAAGACATGATGTATCCTGCCATCTCTGATGAATGATTATTTTAAATGAACCGATATATTCAATGTAAATTATAACAACAACAGATTGGAAGTATAAGAACCAAAGACATCAGTATAACATTGGCAGGATTATCATTATGGATTCATTTCTGAAGAGGTCGAGAGACATACTGCTGTACTTATTTTCAAAGAATGGAATAGCATTCTTTATTTGTTAGAGTTCTTACTATATACATATATATTTTTCCCATAGCATGAACATTCCATGTAATATCTTAGGTTGTCATGTTTTTCACTATTTCTTACTGATGTATCCCCATCCCCTAAAATAGTGCCTGGAATATATAAGGCACACAATAAATATTTGTTGAATAGATATATTAGTCCGTTCTCATGCTGCTGTAAAGGACTGCCCAAGACTGGGTACTTCATAAATGAAAGAAATTTAGCTGACTCACAGTTCCACATGGCTGGGGAAGCCTCACAATGATGGTGGGAGGCAAAGGAGGAGCAAAGTCACATCTTACATGGCCGCAGGCAAGAGAGAGCCTGTTCAGGAAACTCCCCTTTATAAAACCATCAGATCTCGTGAGATTTATTTGCTATCACAAGAACAGCACAGGAAAAACCTGCCCTTATGATTCAATCACCTCCCACAACATGTGGGAATTATGGGAGCTACAATTCAAGATGAGATTTGGGTGGGGACACAGCATTACAGTAATGGAAGTATGAAAAATCAGGGTGTTATGACACCCCCAAAGGAACATAGTAATTCTCTACCAATGGATCCTAACCAAAATGAAATTTTCATCTATTGGTGCTGAATATTGAACCACATGCAACAATCTCCATAAAAATTTAGGACTTCCGAGAAGCGAGCTTCCTTTTCTGGGTCTCGAGGAGGAGATGGGCAGAAAAAATAATATGCAGAGATTCTCTCACTGCATTTTATTTTATTTTATTTTATTTTAAGGTGTTATGACACCCCCAAAGGAACATTGTAATTCTCTACCAATGGATCCTGACCAAAATGAAATTTTCAAAGTGCCAGATAAACAATTCAAAAGACTGAGCTTAAAGAAGCTCAATAAGAGATGCAAGATAAATCTGAAAACCAACACAAAAAAATCTGAAAATTCATTCAGGGTGTGAACTAGAGATTTACCAAGGAGACAGATATCTTAAAAAAATTAACATCTAGAAATGAAAGATTCATTGAAAATATAATACAGTGGAAAGCTTTAATCATAGACTGGAACAAGCAGAGAGAACCTGGAGACGAGCCTTTTTAATTAACCCAGTCAGGCTAAAATAAAATAATAAATAAATAGAAGTATGGGGCTACATAAAGCAATGAAACTTACGAATCATCAGTATTTCCAAGGGAGAAGAAAAAGGAAAAAACTTAGAATCTAAGAAAATGGCCGGGCGCGGTGGCTCATGCTTATAATCCCAGCACTTTGGGAGGCCGAGGCAGGTGGATCACCTGAGGTCGGGAGTTCAAGACCAGCCTGACCAACATGGAGAAACCCCGTCTCTACTAAAAATACAAAATTAGCCGGGGTGGTGGCGCATACCTGTAATCCCAGCTACTCGGGAGGCTGAGGCAGGAGAATCGCTTGAACCTGGGAGGCGGAGGTTGTGGTGAGCCGAGATCGCGCCATTGCACTCCAGCCTGGGCAACAAGAGCAAAACTCTGTCTCACAAAAAAAAAAAAAAAAAAAAAAGAAAATAACTGACAAAAATTTTCCTAGTCTAGCAAGATATTTAAAGATCTGGATAAAGGAGGCCCAGTGATCACCAGCAAAATACCCTGCAACATGAACTTCACCATAAGATATGGTCATCAGACTGTCTAAGGCCAAGTGAAGGGAAATATCCAAAACTCAGCAAGAGAAAAGCATCTAGTCACCTAGAAAGGAAACTCCATGCAATTAACAGTAGACATCTCAGCAGGAACCGTACTAACCCAGGAGAGAATGGAGTTCTATTTTCAAACCGCTTTAAAAAAAACCCTGCCAACCACAGACGCCACCACGCCCGACTAATTTTTGTATTTTTAGTAGACACGGGGTTTCACCACGTTGGCCAGGTTGGTCTCCAGTTCCTGACCTCAGGTGATCCGCCCCCCTCAGCCTCCCGAAGTGCTGAGATTACAGGCGAGAGCCATCGCCTCAGCCAATTTTCTCCTGTATTTAAATTACCCACAGTAACCACCTTAAATACAGCCAGGCATGCTCTCGCCTCTTGTGATTGGGATGCAAAGATGGTAGGCACCAGGACAGTAAAGTTTAATGAAATCTTCCTGGCATAATCTTCGCACCAAGGCTGGAGGCACAGAAGCAGCATTTTATTCACAAACACAGCAGCTATGGAGCTGCAGAAAGCAGAACATCTGCTTCATCACTAACCTAAGAGAGGGTGTGGGACCATCAGCCTTTTGTAAATGCGCTAGAGGGAGATGCCACTGAAAGGAAGGAGTTACCCTAGAGATGTGAGCGAGTGTGAGACTCTCATTCAGATATTATCCATCTAAAATTTGGTGATAGAGGCCGGGCACAGTGACTCATGCCTGTAAATTCAGCACTTGAGAGGCTGAGGCAGGAGGGTCACTAAAGGTCTGGAGTTCAAGACCAGCCTGGCCAACATAGTGAAACCCGTCTCTACTAAAAATACAAAAAGTTAGCCAGGCATTGCAGCGTTTGCCTGTAATCCCAGCTACTCGGAAGGCTGAGGCAGGAGAATCGCTTAAACCCAGGAGGCGGAGGTTGTAGCGAGATCATACCACTGCATTCCAGCTTGGGTGACAGAGCAAGACCCTGTCTCAGACATAAAATAAAATAAAATGAAATTTGGTGAGAGAATCTCTGCTATTACTTCTTCTAACCATCTCCTCCTTGAGAGCCAGAAGAGGAAGGTCCCTTCTCAGTAGTCCTGAATTTCGACGGGGATTCTTGCATGTGGCTCAATATTCAGCACCTATAGGTGACCCTCGGGGAGAGTGATCCATGTTCTCTCCATGAAAACTGTGCCTTGCCCTTTCTGTTCCACTGGAGGGGCTGAGGGGATAACCTGGAAATATCATTGTCATCTTCTCTGGTCTCCTAAATCGCTCAGCTTACCTTCATCAGCAAGGCATCGCTGGGGACAAGGTACAAGTGGAACTTAATGTCTTCGGGGTGGGGGTGAAAATAGAGCAACGTGTTGGAGGTGATGGGGATGGAGAGGCGAGTCCCCCTGGCGATCCGCAGCAGGATGCCCATCAGGGAGAAGCTAGGGTTTTCCAGGACAGCATAGAAAGGCTCCACCCGGCATGGACGCTCCAGGACCATCCCTTCATCCTTAAAATGGGCCACGAGGAACCAGGAGACATCCACCTCACCTGCCGCAGGAGAACCGCAACAGCAGTGAGACAGCACGCGCCCCGGCAGCCCCCACAGCCTCCGCTCACCCCGCATTACCTTGGAGGGAGATGAAGTGGGGGAGGTGGATTTCGGCCACAGCCTCCTCTGGCTCTGCAGTGACGGCAAACAAGGGGCCGGCCGCCAGCCACTGTTCATGGTGCTGCAGGTCCAGGGCCAGGTGCTGACTCCAGGAACCAAACGCAATCGTCACCGTGACCGCATCCCTTACCATGAAGCCGAGGCCGGTGGCTGACCACAGATACCAGCCAGCAGTGGGGAACCGAAGGCTAAAAAGAGCCAGAGTGATGTCATGATGGGAGAACCCCAGGACTTGGATTTAAGCAGCAATGTGCAGAGGGAGGTGGGATTTGAAGTGAGGCAAGTTCAGGACCCATCTGCGACTTTCACTACATTAGAAAACGCTGGGGAGTTCATTAACCTCTCTGGGCTCCAATTTCTCTGCACTCTATATATATATATATCGAAATTAAAATACCAATTTCACAGCGCATGAAATAAACATATTATTGATGAAATTTTAGCTATCATAAGGGATGCAGCCGATACACTTCGTTTATATCGGAGCTGTTTTCAAATCAGCATCTTCCATTCTTACCTGTATTTGTTTGCACTCTTATTGATCAACTCAACATCCACATTTCCTTCAGGCCCCAGAAACTGATCATATTTATAATCTTGTTTGAACATAAAATGGAGTTCAGCATAAATAGAGGAAATCATCTGATGCATTTCTGAGTAAACAGCTCCTGAAAAAAAGATACTAGACACATAAGAGGTAAAGGGTTGGAAGAGGCATGGCCTGAAGGACTCCTGGAGGCTGAATTGCACAGGTGCTGTTGGGATACAGATATTGAAAGAGGACAGAGTGACCAGAATATGGAGTTTTGCTCATGACTAAAAGTATACCCCAAATTCCATAGGGCTTTCTGGGAAGCCAGGCTAGACAGCTTTGGTGGGAGGCACCGTTTGCTGAGGACTGGAACCAATGCACCTACATTTCTACTGGCCCCAAGTAGTAGATGACATCTTCTGCTGGTGAGGCAAGTCTAGGTCAGAAAAGGATCGAGCTTTTCTGCAAGGTGAAACAGCGTGCATCCTTCGAAGTCCCTGCTGCTATCCCCAGCCACCAGGACCATCCCCTGGTTCCCCTGAGCATTTCCGTGCCCCAGCGGTGAGAGGCTTACATATCCCCATTTAAACTGCACAGTGCACTGTGGCCGAGGTAAGGAAAATCACTCCTGATCTCTTCACTGCGCAAAAGACTCTAAATTGTCTTCTCCACATAAAACCACAGAACATTTCCATCAATCCACACGCCCTTCACTCCTCTCCCTATTAGCCCATTACCTGAAACTTGTTCTTCTGAAGATTCCTGGTCTTCTGATACGCTGGAGGTTGGGATCCTCATTTCACAAAAAGATGAAAAATATCAAGAATTAGTTGATGAAGATGAAGACGACGTTATTAAAAACTGGAGCTGCACCGTCCAGTAGAGTAGCCGCTACCCGGATGTGGTATTTAAACTTGTATGAATTACACTTAGGTAAACTTGAGTTTCTCAGTTGCACTATGCACATTTCAAGTACTCAACACCTACGTGTCACTCACGGCTGTAACACTGTGTAGCAGAGAACAGAACACTCCCATCATCACAGAAAGTTCTCTTACATAGGATGGGCCTAGACGACCAAAAAATAGAAGACATTTTGAATAAAGATATTTTTATACAGATTTCTAAATAATAGAGCTAACGTGCTGCCTTGAGCCACATGTGTCCTGACGTCTCTTCTCTTTGGACTATGCCCATGTTCAGCGTGCACACAGCCAGCTTCTCTGGCTTAAATTGCTCCAATTGGTATCATATGATGTTGGAATCAAAGACTGAAGCAGTAATGAACCAATGCATGAAATGCATGCATTTATATTCCAAGGTACTTCCAACCTTGACCACACCTGGGAAGCTTTAAAAACAACCCAATACCCAGGTCACAGCCCACACCAATTGAATCAGAAGTCTGGAGGTGGCACCAAAGCATCACTGCTGTCAAAGCCTCACAGGTGATTCCAATATTAGCCAACATGGGCTCCATGTTCTACAGGGTCAGTCAATGGTTCATCAGGTTAGAAGTGATGGAGTGTCCTTTAGGTCAAGATATTCACTGGCCAATATGACAGCCACTAGCCACACAGGCCTATTCACATCTTAGTTTTAAATTGTTAAATGTGAAAATCAGTTCCTCATTTGAAGTAGCCATATTTCAAGTGCTCAAAAGCCACACGTGGCTCTTGCCCGCCACCATGTAAGACATGCGTTTGCTCCTCCTTTGATTTCTGCCATGATGGTGAGGCCTCCCCAGCCATGTGAAACTAAAAGAATTTTTCTGGGGAATGGACATAGGCGTGGGACGTCTGGCAACAAAATCTGCTTTGGAGAGGACCCCAGGGAACAGAGATGAGGTCTCAGGCTGCTCTTCAACTCCCAGTCCCAAGAAATCCTTCCACCATGGCCTCCCAAAGCACTGGGATTACAACTGCACTCAGCCTGAGCATTACTGTTTGATAGATATTCCCAAATCCCTCTCCACAATAGGTTACAACAGTGAACACCTCCATCAGCTGAATATCCGTGAAAGCAATTATTGAGAAATTCTGAAGTAAGTTCAAAACCAAACTGTAGAAAAAAGTCATTGATAAAAAAAAAAAAAAAGAAAGCAAAAAAAGAAAGAAAATAATTGAGGAATTATTACTAAGTCAACTTTTGTCTAAAAAAAAAAAAAAGAACATTTGATTGCAATGCAAAACCAGCTTTCAGCTGGAACATAAAGCCTGTTAAAGACATCAACAACGAAAGCAAAAATCCTGAATATTTTTTCAGCAATTCTAATTAAAGTATGCATCTTTAAAAAAAAAAAAAAAAGCCACATGTGGCCAGTGGCTTCCACACTGGACAGCACAGAGAGGGAACATTTCCATCCTGGGTGAGAACTCTATTGGACAGCATTGACTTTAGAACTTCTGCTGCAGTCCAGTTGACCAGAGAGTCCTGCTTTGGGGTATTTGGCATTGGTTTTATTCTATTTTTATTATGATTATTTTTTAAATTTATATATTTAAAATTTAAATCTCCATCTCAATTTTTAAAATATTAATAAAATAATAATAACAATAATAAAAGATTTAAAATTTAAATCTCGCTCTGTTGCCCAGGCTGGAGTGCAGTGGCATGATCTCGGCTCACTGCAAGCTCTGCCTCCCAGGTTCAAGTGATTCTCTTGCCTCAGCCTCCCAAGTAGCTGGAATTAACACATATGCACCACCACACCCGGCTAATTTTGTACTTTTAGTAGAGTCAGAGTTTCTCCATGTTGGTCAGGCTGGTCTCAAACTCCTGACCTCAGGTAATCTGCCCGCCTCAGCCTCCCAAAGTGCTGGGATTACAGGCGTGAGCCACCACACCTGGCCCGTATTGGGTCATTCTTGCATTGCTATAAAGGAATATCTGAGACCAGGTAATTTACAAAGTAAAGAGGTTTAATTGGCTCATGGTGCTGCAGGATGTACAAGCATGGGACCAGCTTCTGCTTGGTTTCTGGGAGGCCTGGGGAAGGTTTAATTCATGGTGGAAGGTGACGTGGGAACAGGCCTGTCATATGATGTCAGCAGGAGCAAAAGAGTGAGGTGGGAGGTGCCACACACTTTTTTTTTTTTTTTGAGATGGAGTCTTGCTCTGT